TCACTAGTTTCTCCATTTTCAAGTGAAAAATATAAACAGGTAAAAAGCCCTTTAACTATGATTTTTTTAAAGATTTTATTTATTTGACAGGTAGAGTTACAGACAGTGAGAGAGAGAGAGAGACAGAGAGAAAGGTCTTCCTTCCATTGGTTCACTCCCCGAATGGCCACTACGGCCGGAGCTGCGCCGATCCGAAGCCAGGAGCCAGGAGCTTCTTCCTGGTCTCCTACGTGGGTGCAGGGGCCCAAGCACTTGGGTCATCTTCCACTGCCCTCCCAGGCCAAAGCAGAGAGCTGGACTGGAGGAGGAGCAACCGGGACTAGAACCCAGCGTCCATATGGGATGCAGGCACCGCAGGTGGAGGATTAACCTAGTGCGCCACAACGTTGGCCCCATTAACTATGATTTTTTTTTTAAAAAAAGATCTTATTTATTTATTTGAGAGGCAGTTCCAGACAGAGAGAGGTCTTCCATCTGCTGGTTCACTTCCCAAATGGCTGCAAAGACCAGAGCTGGGCCAATCAGAAGCCAGGAGCTTCTTCTGGGTATCCCATGTAGGTACAGGGGCCCAAATACTTGGGCCATCTTTTACTGCTTTCCCAGGCCATCAGAGGGAGTTGGATTGGAAATGGAGCAGCCAGGACTCCAACCAGCACCCATATGGGATGCTGGCACCGCAGACAAAGGTTTAATCTACCATGCCACAGTGCCGGACCCAGCAATGAATTCTTTAAAAACTAATTTTCATTTACTTGAAAGGCAGAGCAACACACACAGCTATCTTCCATCCATTGGTTTACTCCCCAAATGTCTGCAACAGCCAAGGGCTGGGTCAGGCTGAAACCAAAGCCTGGAACTCAATCTGGGTTCCTGTGTGTGCATCAAGGGCCCAAGCATGTGAGCCATCATCTGCTGTCTTCCAGGGTGCATTAGCAGGAGGATGGATTGGAAGCAGAGGAGACCACACTTGATCTGGCACTGATACGGGATGCTGACATTACAAGTCACAGCTATCACACTGTGTCAAACACCTGCCCCAAAAAGCGTTTTTAAAAATAAAAGGAAAACAAAACTATTTTCATTTTTAAGCATTTTGGGGGATGCTTGATAATGTAGCAGTCATCTGTTGATTGCAGATTATGTGGTTGTTCTATATGCAGTTATATCAAAGGTTTTTAAAAAATTGAGAGGCAGAGAGACAGAGATAGAGACAGACAGCATATGTATTGGTTCACTTCCCAAATGCCTGCAACAGCATGAACTGGCCAAAGCCAAGCTGATGCAACTCCATTCAAGTTTCCCACATGGGTGGCAGGAATTTAATTACTGGAACCCCACTGCTCTTCCCAGGATCTGCATTAGCAGGAAGCTGAAGCCAAGAGCTGGGGCCAGGTATTGAACCCAGTTACTTCAATGTGAAAAGTAGGTCTCTTCACTGCTAGGCTAAATGCCCACCTGGAACGTGACATTTTCTTAAAGCGGGGGCACTAAAAAAAATTCCGTTCAACTGACAATAGAGAGAAATTTAAGACCTAAAATTATAATCAAATAGTAAAAACTCATAGAGCACACTAAATGCTTCATGATTCAAATGTATGAAGAAAAGCAAAGGAACACAGAAAATAAAAAATGTATAGTCCAGAGGAAAATACTCTAACAGAAAAAGTTACCACACACAGTTTCAATAAAAACAACAAATACAACATAAACCACATCTGAAATTATGAATAAAAAATGTAAAAAATATGTACTACCTTTAATGATAAAGTACAGTGGCCAATGTTGGGGTACAGAAGGTTATGTTGCCACCTGCAACACTGGTAACTCAGGTGAGTGCCGGCCACTCTACTTTTGACCCAGTTCTCTACTATGTGCTTGGGTAAGCAGTAGAAGATGCCCCAAGTGCTTGGGCCCCTGCCACCTACCTGGGAAGCTCAGATGCAGTTCCAGGCTCCTGGCTTTGCCCTGGCCCAGCTTAGCCCATTGCTACCATTTGGAGAGGGAGTCAGCAGATGGAAGATGTCTTTCTGTCTCTCCCTCTCTCTAAACTCTGCCTTTGAAATAAGCAACTACATTAAAAAAAGAAAAAAAAAAAAAAAAACAGTGTCCATTACTACTTTTAAGCCTGAAAGGAATATAAATCTGAAACTGCAAACTGAAATTTTCAAAGAAAATCGAATTGTCCTCTTAGTAAGTAACTTTTACCATAGATAGCAGCTTTCAAAGATAAGGCAATATTCTGCAAGATCCAAGTTATAATGCCTCAAAATAGGGTGAGTCTATAACTTACACAAAAAGAAACTTCCTACGAATATCTGCAAAGTAAGTTCACTTTGTAAATAAATGTACTTGAAAAATCTACACAAATTAATCTCATTTTCCCTAATTACAATTCCAGACTTGCTTCAATAAATTCATCTTACCAACAGTACCTTTTGCCTTTGGGGGAAAAATATAACTTGAAGCAGTGTTGGTAAGAGAAATACAGATACATAAAGAACTATGTCATTAAATTTTAATGGCAGAGAGCAAGCTGTCTAACTTTGATAATAGTCTTACTTTCCATTATGAAACAGAACAGGATTCTTTGTCTGATATGTAATTCTTAGGCCTAAGATAGTTTTGGTTTTCTTATTTTCTTTTTTATTTAGCAAAGGAACCTGAAGAGGAAAACCTTCCATTACTTAAAGAAAATGAATATAATAAATTGTAGTTAGGCAATTCTGTTACAAAAGGTTATAGTGCAGTAGTCTCCAGCTTAAACATTGGACATTTCCATTCCATATTATTTTAATAATGTACATGAAGTCCATCAAAAAAAAGCAAATACTGTGACTTAAATGCCAGTGTTAAAAAAGGGTTTTTGTTTTTAATGCAGTTTCTTAAAGTAATAAAAGATATAAAAGCTAATTCCCACTAGTATAACTAACTAGTCTTTCATAAACAAACAGTTCAAATTGCCTTATTTTCAGTTTCCGTAATTTTGAGATAAAATACGTAATTTTTCCAAATGCACGAAGTGATAATTTTCACTGTTACTTGTTCAATCTGCACGTGCTACATTATTATAATACATTTTGATGAGTACTACCAATATATATTGGTAAAATTCTTACATATGTTAGTTTACATAGCTATTGAAGTATACCACAAATATGTGGACATTTGGACTTTTCAAAATTACTTTGCCATTAAACAGGACACGCTTATCTTATACAACATAACTAACATCAATAATTCAATAATGAAATATTTCAAGTAGAAGCACAATGAGTGAATGAGTGAAAAACTAAACCTCCTTTTTTTAGAAAAAAAAACTGAACTAAAGACAATCATTGCACTGGAAGGGATGCCAACTGTAAAATTTTATACTTGAGCAATTCATTCTCCAAATGTAGGCTGCTACTTCTGACAAAAAAGAAAAAGTTGTCTTCCATGTAACAAAGTTGTTTTGAAACAACTGAAATTTATTCCAGGATAAAAGCAAAATGGAAATTATCAAATGTCACAAGACCACATCATGGTGATTAACAAAGTTTTTGGAGACAGATCTAGGATCACACCCCTGGCCATGCCAATTTTAGTAACCTGTAACCTTGGGCAAATTTCATAACCCCTTTTAGTCTCAATTTCTGGCACTTAGGGCTCTAAATGATATCCATTATCATTTTTTTTTCTTAAGACAAGCTCAACAGGGGGCTCATTAATGCAAAAGCAGCTAATGGTCCTTTTGCTTCACAAGCTATTGCTTTTTGCTTAGTAGGGTAACTACTAGTACCTTTCTGCTGTTTGCTTTTAGTGCGAGAAAGACTCTCCAGAACTAAGAAGAAAAAAGAGGTTTTAAAACCGAATGTCACAGGTAGCAAGAATTTGGATTCAGGTAAAACTGTGTGCTATGCATTTATAACTTAAGAAAGCCATCATCCTGGTTTTCAACTATCCTATCAACTCCCAAACTTGAGGGGGATATTTCAGGGCATATGCTTTTGAGACAAAAATCACTCCTGGCCAAAGAGAAACGTAGGAGAGTGCCACGCAGGATGAGTTCTTAATAATTACTTGCTGGATCAATCAATAAACTGCATGTTTCTGATGAAACAGTAACTTCTCATGAAACATCAGTTATTGAACAGTTTTTGTCTTCTATTCTCACATCTAGTCCCATCCTTCACACTCAAGATACACACTTTCTTCTTCACTTACATCCAACACCCTTAGGCAGGAATCAGTGTCCCTAAATAAATGAACAGAGAATAAGCTTTAAAAGTGTTACATAGTTTGTGAGCAGGTGAGATTCGAACTCGTTTTTCTCGGGCTCCAAAGTCCAATCTGCGCTACACTGAAGCTCCTAACACTACGTGTCTCCGCAAACCGTCCGGTACACAAAACGTTTACTATATTCCAAGCTTTTTTTTTCTTTCTTTCTTTTTTTCTACATTGCCAACTCTACCATTGCCCATTATTGCCATCGCTGGGCTACAAACTCAAAACACATCCGCAAGAATGATACACTAATTCCAGGAGTCGGGGTACAGGCCCGAGGAGTACGAAATCTGTTATTCCGTAAGCCGGGGGTCTGGCGCCACCAGCGCAGGCGACCAACACAGGCTGGGGTCCAGAGAAGCTGCAGACCGCGCCCAGGTCTCAAGTTTTAGTCCAGGCCCACGTTCAGACCAGGACAGGGGAGAGAGAGGAGAGGGTTGCCCTTTCCCTACACCTCGCAGCGGCAGAAGCACAGAGAAAGCTGGAGTCGCACGCAGTTAACAGTGCAAACAAAAAATCCGAACCCCCTTCTTAAACCCGTTAAACGCACTTACTTGAGCGAGGTAATTCCAGGACGCTAGGCCCGCACTGGCAACGGAAAAGACTCCTCTGTCCTCCAGCCCCAGGGGCTGACGGTGACGACATCTAGGCCGCGCCGTGGAAAGCCTAGGCCCAGCGCGAGGCCACGAGCTCGACACACAGAGCGCGCGCTCGCGAAAGGGGCGGGGCGGCCCGGCGGCGCCACCTTTAAGCGTCACGGGCGGGGCCGCGGTTTCTAGACCCGGGTTTTGAACATGTCGCGCCTGAAAGGAGCTGTCGGGCGAGATCCCCGGGCGGGTTTCAGAACCGAGACGAGAGACTGCAGTACCTCCGTACCCCAGGGGCTGTTAAAGGCGGCGAGGAAGAGCGGTCAGTTAAACTTATCGGGTAGGAACCTCAGTGAAGGTAAGACCTAGGGTTTCCCCCGATTGCTTGTTGTCTGGAAGGTGGTGGTCCTGGGCGCTTCCTCTCCCTCTGCCTGGCGTTAGCTCCCTTTGCCTCAGGTTCTTAGGATCCTTATTCTGTAATCTGGCACTTAATACATTTCCACTGGCTTGTCCTACTCATTTCGGTTCCTCCCCTAGCTCCCGGCAGTCTGTCATCAAAGAACTCTTGATGGGGATGTGGCCAAAATAGCAATGTGGCGTTTTCTAGAATCTCATGTTCTATGGCAGAAGTAACTTCGTGTGTGACAGAATTAGCTGTAAGATGATGGGTAAATATATATATATATATATATATATATATATATATATATTTGCTGTCGTTCCTTCCCCCTCTTTAGTTTGTTTTCTAAGGGCACTTGCCAAAGGTAGAATTCTGTCATATTTCATCTGGCCCTTTGTGAGCTTAGAGTGAATGCCACTGTTCCCTACCGTGACCTTGTCTGTACGCATTTGGGTAGAGTCCTGTTTAAGAGTAGTAATGAAGGCGCAAATGTTCTAAGTTGAAGGTGAGGTTCGGTCCCGCACAGGGTTTGAATTTGGGGCCATCCTGAGAAGCATGTTAAAGATCAGCAAGCACAATGAATAGCCAGGTGCTCTTTCATTATCTTGGTAAATGTGTGCAAGAGGGACAGAGGGAAATACAGCATTCTTCCTGTTACGTTTTCTTTCCTTTATGTATTCTAAGACTGTGATGGAAAGCCTTCCATTTTCTTTTCAGTGGTTGTTTTCTTGTACCATATTTAGACTGGGCAAACAAATATTTGATGAATGAATGAAATTTCTGCCCTTCCTAGAAGAGTAGTTGATCAATGGAAACCTAAATATTTTCAAACTTAAGATTTTTCTATTTAGATTCCTTCTTCCTAAAACCTGGAACATTTTCCTTTATAACTGCAAAGGACTCACTCTTTGGCTTCCTTTAATACTGTGCTCAAAGGTTATCATTCAGAAAGTGACTTCCTAACTACCATTGCTAACCCTCTGTCCTGTTTGGTTTATTAATAGCATTTATCACTATCAGAATTTATATAATTTATTTGTTTACCATCGTTCCTACCCTACAACTAGAATGTTAATTTGATAAGGTCAGGGAGCTTCGTTATATCCCTAGCCTCCAGAATAATGCTTGGTTCTTAGTTTATTTTCATTAAGTATTGTGGAAGCAGTGAGTAAATGAACAAATATTCTCAAATGCTAAGTGAAGTACTGGAATGTTACTTATTGACTGGACCCAGATGGTTTAGTATATTAAACATTCAGGAAAAAGATTAATTTTGACAATTAGTTGTATGATGATATAGATCAGGACTGTTTAGGTTTTCATGGTATGAATAAAGCCTAACACAATACCTGCACATACAATGATGTTAAATGTGTGAATATGTCGTATTTCTTAGCAGGGAAAAGACGTAAATGGGAGAGTTGTGATACCTGTGGCTTACATGTCTAAAAAGAATCCTGGTTACCATTATGATATAGAAGGTCTTTCCCTATCTGTCTGTAGCCAGCTCCATCTCTTGTCACTCAACCTTTGATACCCAAGTGGCTATATTTCGAAAATCCCTTACGGGGCCATGCTCCCATTCTCAGTATCTTTGCTCTTATAACACTGAGTTCTTAATTGCTCTATGCTTTAATTTTTCATTTAAATGTGGAAGTAATAATAAGACCTATTAAGGTTTCAATGAGATAGGTAAAATGTCTGATATATAAAAAGTACAGGGTGGGGCTGGTGTTGTGAAGCTGTCATCTGGTATTGGAGTGCAGTTGCTTTGTTTCCTATCCAGCTTCCTGCTAATGTACCTTGGAAGGCAGTGGAGGATGGTCCTTGTACTTGGAACCCTGCCACCCATGTGGGAAGCCTGGATTAAGTTTGATGGCTCTGGCTTTGGCTTCACCTAGTCTAGGCCGTTGGCAGCCATTTGGGGAGTGAACCAGCAGATGGAATATCTCTCTGAATGTCTCTCTCTCTCTCTCTCTCTCCCAATAAATCCTTAAAAAAAAAAAGATAGTAAAAATTGACCATTGTTGTTAGGCAATAGCTTCCTAACTGGATTTCTTGTTCTAAATTTCACTCTCTGAATTTTAATGTCATTACCAAGAGTTATTTTTTCAAATCACATATTTTATTATAGCAATCAAAACATTAAAGGATGTCCCATAGCCTACAACATACAGTGTAAAGTCCATAGCACAACATGCAAAAGTTTTTAATGACTTGATAGCTCATTTCTTTTTATCGCTGAGTAATACTCCATTGGATAGCTGTAGCATTTTGTTTTTTCCATTCAGCTTTGGAAGGATATGTTGGTTGCTTCTACTCTTTGGCAGTTATAAATAAAGTAGCTGTAAACATGAATGTTCAGGTTTTTTTTTTTTTTTGGCAGAAACCTTTTATTTAAGGTATACAAACTTAATGCATTTCATAAATACAACATTAGAAAGATGGTGATTCTTCCCACCATACTTGCTCTCCCACCTATACTTCCACTCTTACTACTCTTCCCTCTCCTATTCCAATTATTATTTTTTTACTAAGACCTATTTTCAATCAATTTTATACACATACGATTAACTCTGTACCAAGTAAAAAGTTCAACAAATAGTATGGATAAAAAAAACCCTGTTCCTGAATAGTGGAGATAAGGGCTGTTCAAAGTCATGGCATCTCAAAGTGTCAATTTCATTTCTGTAGATTACCTTTTAGGTATTCTGTTAGTTACCACAGATCAGGGAGAACGTGTTTTATTTGTCCTTTTGGGACTGGCTTATTTTGCTAAGTATGATGTTTTCCAGTTTCATCTATTTTGTTGCAAACAACAGGATTTCTTTTTTTTTTTTACTACTGTGTAGTATTCCATGATATACAAATCCCATAATTTCTTTATCCAATCTTCAATTGATGGACATTTGGGTTGATTCCATATCTTAGGTATTGTGAGTTGAGCTGCAATAAAATAAATACAGATAACTCTTTCATATGCTGATTTCAGTTCTCTTGGGTAAATTCCAAGGACTGGGATGGCTGGGTCATATGGTAGGTCTAGATTCAGATTTCTGAGGTGTCCATACTGTCTTCTGCAGTGGCTGTACCAGGTTACATTCCCAACAACAGTGGATTCCCAGCATTTGTTGTTTGTTGATTTCTGTATCAAATCCATTCTAACTGGGGTGAGGTGAAACCACATTGTGGTTTTAATTTGCATTTTCCTGACAGCTAGTGATCCTGAGCATTTTTTCATGTGTCTGTTGGCCATTTGGATTTTCTCTTTTTTTATTTTTATTTTTATTTATTTATTTTTTGACAGGTAGAGTTAGTTGGTTCATCCCCCCAAATGTCTGCTACTGCCGGCGCGCTGCGCTGATCCGAAGCCAGGAGCCAGGTACTTCCTCCTGGTATCCCATGCGAGTGCAGGACCCAAGCACTTGGGCCATCCTCCACTGCCTTCCCGGGCCACAGCAGAGAGCTGGACTGGAAGAGGAGCAACCGGGACAGAATCTGGCACCCCAACCAGGACTAGAAACCGGGGTGCCAGTGCCGCAGGCGGAGGATTAGCCAAGTGAGCTGCGGCGCCGGCCTGGATTTCCTCTTTTGAAAAATGTTCAAGTCTTTTGCCCATTTCTTAACTGGGTTGTTCATTTTGTTGTTGAGTTTCTTGAACTTGTAATATATTCTGATTATTAATCCTTTATCAGTTGCATAGTTTGCACATAATTTCTCTCATTTCTGCTGGGCTTGAGAAAGCAGTAGAGGATGGCCCACGTCCTTGGGCCCCTGCACTCGCATGGGAGACATGGAAGAAGCTCCTGGCTCCTGGCTTCAGATTAGCTCAGATCTGGCCATTGCGGCCATTTGGGTATCAACCAGCAAATGGAAGACCTCTCTTTCTGGCTCTACTTCTCTCTGTAACTCTGTCTTTCAAATAAATAAATCTTAAAAAAAAAAAGTCTGGTAGAATTCAGCAGAGAAGCCATCAGTTCTGGGCTTTTCTTTGTTGGAAGGGTCTTTATTACTGATTCAATTTCGATCTTGGTTTATTGGTCTTTTTTAGGTTTTCTGTGCCTTAATGGCTCAATTAAGGTAGGTTGTATGCATCCAGGAATCTATCCATTTTTATAGGTTTCCTGAGTTGTTGGCATACAGCTCTTTGTAATAATTTCTGATGATTCTTTTTATTTTGTGGTATCTGTTGTTACATTTCCCCTTTTTCATCTCTAATTTTTTTTTAGTTGGGCTTATGATGTGTCAATTTTGTTTATTTTTTAAAAAATAACAGCGCTTCATTACACTGAACTTTTGTATTTCTATGGTTTCAATTTTGATGATTTCTTATATCATTTTAATTATTCTACTAATTCTGGGTTTGGTATGTTCTTGTTTTTCTAGGTCCATGAGATGCATTGATATCTCATTTATTTGGTGCCTTCACAATTTCTTGATGTAGGCACCAATTGCTATAAGCTTCCCTCTTAACGCTGCTTTTGCTGTATCCCATACATTTTGATATGTTGTTGTCTTCATTTGTTCTTAGCGATTTTTTGATTTCTCCTTGACCCACTGTTCATTCAGACACGTGTTGTTCAGTCTCCATGTGTTATCATGTTCTACAGGTTCTTGAGTTGTTGACTTCCAGCTTCATTGTATTGTGGTCAGAAAGGATGCATGGTATGATTTTAATTTTTTTTGAATTTGCTGATACTTGCTTTATGGTCTAGCATGTGGTCTATCATACAGAAAGTTCCATGAACTGGTGAGAAGAATGTGTATTCTACAACTGTAGGAAGAAAAGTTCTGTAGATATCTGTTAGGGCCATTTTGTCTACAGTGTCGATTAATTTTGTTGTTTCCTTGCTGATTTTCTGTCTGGTTGATCTGTCCATTCCAGAAAGTGTGGTATTGAAATCCCCAGTTACTATTGTATTTGAGTGTATATCTCTCTTTACATCCCTGTATTTTCT